TATGATGTTATGTACAAATATTCAAAAGTAAGCAAGTGTATATGCAAATAATCATATTCACACAAAGCAGACAAGTCCTCAAGTTTAAGCTTGCATGGAGTTTGTAGGTAAGTACTCTCTTGAAGTTTAGTTGGCTCAACCTGTCCTAGAAATAGTAACCGGGTTCTAAGGAGCTCAATATCACCGGATTATTTTCTGTGTTCATTGTTTCAGTTTAGCCACTTTACTGGCGACCGAAATATTCCAAGAAAACAATCCTCAATGAGTGTAGTATCGAGTATCTTCCAACTTCGGACTGTACCAAAGCCGATCATCTCACTACATCCTAAAAGGCCAAGTTGGTCAAGTAAGGTTCTAAAGTCAGTTGATGCTTCACAACACCACGCGGCGGCCCCGTACTCTTCTCGATTCAACTCAAGGGTTACCGGTACCAACCAATGTGCCACATCAATGTAGCTACTGCTTCAACCATGTCGGTATACCCCGCACAGTTCCCTCACAATTTATTGCTACTTACCTAAAAAGGTGCCCCCAAATCCGGGTGTAGGATTTAAAACAAACTCAAACAAGGAACCAAAAGGTAAAGCATACAAGTCAAATAAGATAAGCATGTAAATATGATCTAAACCCTAAGGTAACCCCACTTTTAAATAGAACTCCCCAGCAGAGTCTCCAGTTCTGTGATACGGTGGGAGAACTGACTTGAGATTTTGCGATTCTGCCCACGAGAAAGAAATGCCTTTGAGTTTGAGATAGGATCCTTTGTTGACCATCGACCGGTTGCCCCTTCATCAGAAGATGGTGTAAGCTTCGGTAGTGAAACTGCAAAGTTGCTTTAGACAGGTTGGTTTCAGAGTTGTAGCTTTCCCGAGACAGCTTTGGAGCAGCGAAACTTTCTGAATATTCATTCCAGGGCTCCGAGGTCAAGAAAAGACTTTGTTTGCCTCTCTTCGGTTGATTTCAAATACGATCTTTCATATTTGAGAAAAGGAACTGTCTTCCATCATGCATGTGTTAAGCATAACACTACGTTTGTTTACAAATCGGCTAGGCCGGCTAAAAAACCGGGTTTTTGGCATAGTTTAAAGGTCGATTCTCGAAAATGCTTATAGTACGATAATAGTTGAAAAGCTAACCTCCAAAAGAGCTTTTCCGAGCAATTGATGTCAAATTTCCGGGGTTTCGTCACGTCATAAAATAAGTAAATCGTGTTTGCACGAGATTTCTATCCAATCAGTAGCCAACTTTGGACCTATGGCGAACCAGTCTCGTACTCTAGGGGGGGCGGTCTAGTCAGAGCAAATGATCAAGCAAGAATGTTCCTTTATTTGTTTACGCACTTCGTTGACTAGTGAAGTAAGCAAGCTACCTTGGGACTAACGTTGCCACTGGGGTCGCTCATCTTACTCTAGGGTAGCACTCTCTATGGAAAGATGAGTGGTTTGTGCTTCACTAGCCAAGTCCATGCGCCTACAGCTCGATCTACTAGCGCTCTCTTCGATCCTTCCAGGTCAAGACCTTCGCTTGTTGACCACTTTTCGATGAGCAGATCTTTCGCTCAATTACGATCCATACTCAAACATGTTCGTTCGACGCCTCAACTGCCCTCTGCCACACATCTCTTTCCTTCGCTCTAGACCCACCCCTAAAATAGACCTTCTGCCCTTTCCTTTCACACTCTAAGGGTTGAACTATAAAGTCAGAGTTAGGAATGCCATCTAGTCCTGCCTTTCTGATAGCGATCTCCCTACGTATTTCTGTTGATTGCTTCTAAGAGTTTCCTTCGTTGATGTTACATTCGGTAAAGCAATTGCACTTATAGCTAGCCTCTAAGATCCTTGGTTGAGGAGAAAGCCATGAATACTAAGATTCCGAAGCAGGTCAATCGAACCTAGTGTGAAAAGTTTTTATCTGACTTGCATCGATTGGAATCTGCTATCTATGGTCTCTTTTCTATTGGTAATCAGTAGTTGAGGGTGCTTCTTGCTTGCTTCCTTTCTCCACTTCTTTCCTTAGCATTAGCATGGGGTTGGTCTTCCTCGGTGAGCGGATGTCTATAACACCCATTTTCAAGGATCTGGCGGATCGCCTAGCAGGAAGGCTACTGAGCCACTGATCTGACCATCGATTGGCTTTGTACGTCGATTAACGTAGATCAAGAAAGGAAAGAAATCCAATTGTGTTTGAGCCGGCATTTATTCCTTGTGATTGGTTATGTATGTGTAGGAGAGTTACGTACTGGAACCGCAGGAAGATATCGTCTGGTGGAATGGCAGGACCAGAAAGCTTGGTTGATTTTGTTTGAGGAAAACAGAATCATTCTCGGTTGTACAATCATTACTAGTAGTTCCAGCGAGGTCAGATCTTTCATCAATTGGCTTTCACAGGGCTTCTTTTTAGATCAAATAGTCCATAGAAATTCACTCATAACAGAAGCTAGAGGACTGTCTTCGTAGGACGCGTGGACGGATGAGCGATTGGACCGCCTACAGGACAGTTACTGGACAGATGTGACCCTTACCTGTTGACAGATGACAGACAGAAGAGCGGGAAGTAGCTCTATTTAAAGGAAGGGAATCTTGTACTGAGCTAGCCTGCCTTGAACTTGATTGAAGTAGGCAGTCTTCCCTATATCTGACAGCTTTAACTGGCCTTGTTACTACAAATACTACAAAGAAATTGCCATAGATCGAAACTTATTCCAGGCTTAGTATCTCCGGATAGACCAATTAAAAGAAGACGAGTCATAAAGGGAAATTTCTAACAATTGAAGGGGTCACATCCTAACGCACCTAGAAAGATAGGCTATTAATGGGAGGTCTTCGGAGTGCAGGGAATTGCTACTTCTTCAGTAGAAGGAATTGGACAACTAGGCTCTTAGGCAGCTATTGAATCTGCCCAGGGACTTAAAATCCTTCCATGGATTTAATCGCTTTGGTTGTCTCAAAGAAAGTCAATAGGTCGAGTGAGATCAAGGGCATCAGTAGGACTGATTTTAAGACAATTAGGGACAAGGTCTTTTTGACGCTTCCCCACAGCTAGTAGTAAGAGATGAAAGAGGACTCAAAGGGAAAATCCCATATCCCGGGTTCCTAGATAGACTGGATGAGCTTGACTACTAAATGCCGTATCTTCAGAAAGAAGATAGAAGTGGCAGCAGTAGCTCCAGTAGATTAGATAGTCCCTTCTACTAGGGTGCTCATTGGATGGGCACAATAATAGGGTTTTCAAGGAAAGAAAGCTTGAGGCCAACTTATGCCAAACTGCCAAAGCAAAGATTTAGATTATTAGGCCAATGAAGGGAAGGATCATTGGCGCCTTCTTCCACAGCTAAAGCAGGTTTAGGTCATACCCCTTCTCAGTTTACATAAGGCTCTACCCCCTTTCATAAAAAAAGGCACAAGGATTGGTCTCGAAAAGGCAACTACCGGCATGGGGCACGAGTTGTAAGGAATTCAGGTAGTTCAGTCACCCGAGGGGGATGTTATAAGCTGCTACATTAATTGGAGATGGAGCTTCTACAATTGCTTTAGCGGGAGGCGGTTACTCCAATCTTTGGTTCGATCTATCAATGAAAAGTCCCTTTCAAGGGGCCCTAAAGCCGTCAGACCTAAAGCAGGATACTGGCATAACACAAAAACTGGGAGACTTGCTCCTCCCTACTGGCTTTCTTTTCCTCTAAAAATACTAAGACTAAGGTTTTCACCGCTACTTAGTGGAAAAGAGTTGGATTAGTCCCCACCAGCGGCATTACCGACTCAAGAGTCAAATCTATAGTTGGATTAGTCCCACCAAAGGGAATCACTAATTAGGCTGGATTCTCCGTTCGGAATGTGCCATCTGGTTGGTGTCCAATCATTTCCTCAAAGGAAGTCATCAAACTGCGTAGAGGAGAACAAAGATGAAAGGTTGATTAAGGGGGAATCACAACAAGGCTCAAATCCTTCCCTGTCTCGCTAGTTTGGGGCCTCGTTAGGGGATCTCCTCATGAGGATCGGTTCTCGTGCCCATATGAATTCGTAGATGCCTATCTGTCAAAAGATTCAGTGTAGAAAGACAGAGCCTTTGAAAGGCCCTTCTTCTTATAGTCTGAGTCTTCCTTGGACCACCGCTTGCTCTCCTACCGGCCTTTCTCTCTTAGCTTTCCCCGCCTTTGGCAGTGAACGACTCCGATCTGCAGATAAGAATATGGATAACCTTGAAAGGAGTCTTCTTATCTTGAAAGAGGCCTTGAAGGAGTGAAAGAGAGAAGATTGAGTAGCCGGGTGAATATCCTTTGCTATTTAATTTGAAGAAGTTGTGGCTCTTTCAATAATATCTTGGACTGGGGAGAGCCAAAGGGGCGAAACGAGATATAGATGACTGGATCAGTCTGGCTACAAGACCTTGAAAAGGGAATAAGCCCTGGGACTTCTTTTTTAGTTAGAGCTTTCAATTTATTGGTCAGTCATAGCTGCAACTATAGCCGATAGACTAGGTCTATAGGGCATGCATGCCCTTGAGATGTAGAAGGACTGGTCTTTTCCTATTTTAGGAAGGTAGAAGGCGCTGCCCTATACGTGCCTGCTCGCTTGAGCGACTCTCAGTCATTGTAAATAGATAGAAAGAGCACGAAAGTATACTATCTTACTGGATCTGCTCTATGGAAATGGAATTGAAATCCTCTTAGTCCAATTCCTTACGAAGAAAGTCTGACTCTATCTGCTCAATAGTGAAGGGATTTGGGCAAAAGGTGTACGACTTAGTAGGAGAGGTTCTGAAAGAGTGAAGGTAGTACATCTTTCTTTTCCTTTTGATTGAGATGGACTCCTCTCTACTTCTGGGACGAGGTATGACTGAAATAGGAGAGGTGTCCTTCCTAGGTAAGACCAGACCTGGTTGATTAGTCTGCCTTCTGTGATCCGGGAATGGAAATTTGAAGGCGGTAGTTCAGGGACTGTTTTGGGGGCATTGATCCTAGGTCTTAATCTGTTGTCATCTTGGGGGATTCTTGTGGCATATCATCTTCCATATGTAGGTTTTTCCCAATCCTCATAATGGTCTTTCGATTGTTCCACCAATGCTACTGGAGCACTCTTGATGCCCAAAGTCTTATGGCCGACGGCTCTTAAGGGTTTACACTCACAATGAAAATGAATGCATCCCTTATTCGCCCTGGCTTGGTTAAGCCCAGAAGCGAAAACAAGGAAATCAGTACCGGAGACTCCTCCGATATAGGCAGGCTCTTTAGGGCGATTCTCCTCTTCCTTAGACAGAAAATCTAGTTAGACCCACTAGGTAAATAAAGGAATTACCAAGGTAAGACACATATCGCAATCTTACATCTACCTTTGCCTTACCCACAGAAAGCCTTCGCACAGATTTCCTTCCTACGTTTTTAGCGGAGAGAAGAGAATAGTCTAGTTAGTAGTCCTACAGAAGCCATAATCAATCCTATAGATTAGAAACTATAACCTATAATATTATATGCATATCCTAACCAGGGAATATGCGCAGAAAAAAGCACCTTTTTTCTATAATCAAGGCCAAAGGGAAGTTGAAGCCCAACATCCCGTGGTCGAGATGGACACCGGTCTGGCCCGCACCTACATGGACTTCAAATTTACTTCTGATCGTAACTTTTTATTTTAAACCCGGTTCCTCACGCTGCCCATGAGTACGTCCGGGGTACAGGTTCACTTTACCTGCTCAATCTCCTAAAGGCGGGGACGGGGGCTGGTTTCCCTGAGTAGGAGGTATCTTAGAACGGTCAGTCGGGTGACTGATCTTGAGTTCAACTCCTCCCCAAGAATATTGGAATATAACATAAACCCCCATAGATATAGCAATCCTTTCGATGGATAAACAAGGCTAGAATAAGATAGATGAGGAAGAGCCCTTGGATACAAAGGAGAACCACAAAAAAATAAAACACCTTGTTGTTCTCTGTAAAAAATCTGACCCAATGCGCTATTGTTTCCAACATATTGGAAATTGGAAATTAATTTTTGAGAAATTCAAATGTTATATTATAACTCCCTCCAGTACGTCAGGAAACACCAGGCTCTTCCAACTTCAAATTACTATATTCGCACGCTGTTCGACTGAACTCGTTCGCGTTTTGGCTCCGCGTTCATGAAATTCCAACACCAACAACAGAAAAAAAATGCTTCGATCGGGCGTATGGAATTCGTTTCTCTCTAGTACTGAGGATAGAAGAGGAAGGGGAATCCATCAAGGACTGATTTATCTTTGATTGATTGAAGGTCCTCGCCTAGCCTCTTAATAAGTTAAGGTCCCATTTCCTTTTCTTGATCTAATCCCTTCTTATTAAGATCGGTTAATCGTCTTTGCAGTGAGTGTTCGGGCAAGAATTTTTTTCTTGAGCCATTCTGTAATCATTCCATACCTTCTACATTCTTAGTCTTCGCTATACGACAACAAGGGGATTGGACTACTTATATATAAGACTGGAAGGCTGCAACTGGAGGCAATTGGACGAAAGTTGGTAAATAAATTCCATGCCTTAAGCATAGTAAAGTCACACATCCACTAAATGCAATAAAAATAAGGACGAAAAAGCAAATTTCTTACTCCCTTGCAGGCAAAAGAAAGAACGCATACCAATGCCTTCTCTCGGCCTAAGGATAAGGAGTGTTTTCTAGGATGCTAAAGAAAAGAGATGGCTAAGGGGCGTAGCGGGAAGTCAAGCAGGAAAGTCATCAGTGACGGCGTATTCTCTACCCGACAGGAGCTATGTTGATGCCCCCTACCAAGGAAGGGGTAACTTCCCGGTTCATAAGCCCTTCCCTTCCATTATTTAATCCATCCATGACATTGTGTATATAACAAAACCCACTTGACCTTCCCGCTTGCCTGTAGAATCAGAAAAGCAAGCTCAAATCCCTGTCGAATCTTTCCTTTGGTTGCCTTCCGACCTATTGCATTAAAGACCGGCAATCGAATCTTTGCTTGGCTTGACGATCCCTTTCAAATCAACTGAAAGCCCGACCCCTTCCCAATGTTTTCAATGCGGAAGGAAGAATCTCGGATAGTTGGTTCATGCGTTAGGTCAACCATTCCTCTAGCATTCCGAAGTGAGAAGCCAAGTGAACGAGCCCTGTTTTTCGAGAATGCAAGTTCCATTCGCAAAGCCCAAGCCAAAAGCGAGTAGACCGAACTACTTGCTTATGTGAGGTTCTTTCCTCTCTCTTGTTCATCTTGTTTTGAGTACTCGACGAAATAATAGCATAAGAGAAGATATTGGACAATTGAGTCCACTTCGATATCACACCTATTTGAGTCGAGAGTTCCTCCTTTGATTCTAGCCTTGCTTGGGAGGGAACCAAAGAGTATCTCGGATAACCTTTTTTGCGTTCGGGCATGCCCATATTCAGCGACCTACTGGATGCTGGATTAAGAAAGGAATAAACAACACGAGTTGCCGCACTATCGGAATACAATTGATTCAAAAAGCACGTATGGATAGGTTGGGCATAGCTATTTCAATCTCTCTCGCACTCGCTCTCCTGATCGACCAGACTGAATCGATACAATGAAGATAACAGATGGGAGAGTGACCCTAAGTACAATGATTGCCCTATGAGGTACCGTATTGGGCTCATGTTTTTCTTTTGCCCATCAGGCATCAGGGGTGATCCATTAAAACATTGTCCACAGGCCCGACTTAATGGGGATCCATTTACATAATCATAATCTAACCAGTGGTCACATTCAAAGGATATAAGAATCGGTCTATCATGCACTTAGTTTAATCTAATGGATCCTTGGTGCATACTTTATCAGGTAATTTTGCCGAATATGATTGATCGACGCATGCGAATAGCTAGAAGAGGGGAAGACTGGCAGAGCATAAAGTCATGGGGTTTGGTTTTGCAGATCATCATCCTAAGTGGTTGAATCCAACCTGAGGTATGTTATATTATAGATAGAGATCTTGATTGATGCATGGGTCTTCCTTTCTGATTTTTAGTATGGGTTTCCGCCTCATCCGGTACATGTATCTAAGCTGGTAGTATCCAGTCGACGATACATTAAGACTTGTTGTTCGATAGGCAAATATAGGAACTATTACCACCCTATTATAATATAATAATAGAATTACGGACCCATATCTACAAATAGGATATCCGTGAGAGACTTTCTTTTACTAAAAAGAATGAATGCATTTATTGCATTTAAAGTGAGATGTCCATGAGAAAAGGAACGAGGTTTTGAAGCGACGAGAACAAAAAATCGTGAATGAAAGAGCGTGACGAGTTTTTCTCCATTCGCGATGTTAGAAGGTGCAAAATCAATAGGTGCGGGAGCTGCTACAATTGCTTCAGCGGGAGCTGCTGTAGGTATTGGAAACGTATTTAGTTCATTAATTCATTCCGTGGAAAGAAATCCATCATTGGCAAAACAGTTATTCGGATATGCAATCCTGGGCTTTGCTCTAACCGAGGCTATTGCCTTGTTCGCATTAATGATGGCCTTTTTGATTCTATTTGTTTTCTAAGTTTATCCTTTTGAAAGGTGTAATCCCTGAGGACGAGGCCCCCAGCAATGGGGGGGAAAGAAGAGTGGGTACGCGGGCTTCTTTAACTTTAGTTTTGGAGAGAGCATTGTGGAGCAGCAAAAGGCATAAATAATGGGAAGCGGCGGATTCCCCGGAAAAACGCCTTAAAATAGCGAAGGTTCTGGAGGAGCTTTCCACAAACCGTGATTCCTTGGTAAATGAAAATTCGGGGCAAAAGGCGGCCTACGATTTTGTTTTATTATCGCCGTGCACAATTGGGAATCAAAGGGACTGGCAGACGTACCATGAGACTTTCTCGTCGTTAGTTTGCTTGCTTTGGTTTGTTTCCGGGGAGAGGTGAGCCGCTTACGCTGTGAGGAGACAGGAGCTCTCGAGCTTAGAGAAGTTCCCTAGGCCAGACAGAGGTCTAGGGGGAGTCCGGATAGAGGACTCTTTAAACTAAACTGGTGGGCCCGCATATGTAGGAAGGCTTAAGCTTTCGAATTGTGTAACAAAAGCGACTCCTTCTCCTTGTTGGTGTAAGATAGGTGTTGGTCCGATTCACCAATGTAAGTTATAACCTGACGGGTCGTTCGTGTGGAGAATCTCTCTCGTGACTCAGGATTTCTTGATCTTAGAGTGACCCTACCCAACTAACTCTCTCTAAGTAATAGCTCGCCCTGACTTAGTCTTCTCGATAGGAATGAGAGAAAAGGTCAGTCCTTCTCCTGTGAGAGACTCTGAAGTGGGCTGCTTTCAAGGGCTAAAATTTACCTGTTTCGACGTGAGATTGGCTTAGCTTGGTCTTTCTGTGTACCTAGAGTCAGTCTTCCCATAGAGCTTCAAAGATTCTGGCCTGGTTCGAGAAGCATTATAAAGTAGGATCCTTTTTTTAGTAAAGTACCCGTGGGATTCGATTTGCCAACTGATCCGAGGGTCAGCAACGGGAAAATAAGAATAAGTAGGACAGGCTCGAGGTCAATTCTTTCTTTTAGGAGAGATCCCACCCCCCTTCTTTAGCGCTTGTTCGTAATAAAAGACTTCCTTCTCGTTCTCGGTCGGTGAAGGAATCGGAGCAGCTATATAATCAGCATCTGACTCTTTAACGGCAAGCTCAACAACGATCAGTTTTCCTCTGCTTTCCAGCTCTAGTTTAGTTTTTTCTTAAATAAAGCGGTGGTAGCGCGTCGAGATTTCATAACCGCGGTGAGAGTTGCCGCTGCTGGGGTAATACCCTCAGTAAGGATACCAGTCTCAGGAAGATAGCCAGACTCGGTTGTGAAAGAAGGAGCTGCTGGCTGGTGGAGTAAGCACTTTTCTTGTTACAGTATCCTTTGTTAACGTAGACGTTGTTGGGACTGATTCCTTGCCTGCTTTGTGTGGAAGTGCGTAAAGTAGGCTCAGCTTCTTTGGTAGTAGGTGCGATATTGAAGGAGTTCAGGGCTAAGGACTGGAGCTTTATTCCCACTCCCAGTAGAGTAGTCTGTCTTCAGTAGTTCGCTTGGAAAGTAGTTTTTCGTAAGCAGGAGCGTAGCGTTTCGCGGGTAAAGGGGCTGGATTAGCTTCTTCCCTTTATAGTGGCTTCTTTCATTTTCACAGAAAAAGATAAATTCCCCCTATCTCTACTTCTGCTAACAAACGCTAGAATTGGGATATCGAGAAAGAGGGTAGACCGTAGAAGGTTCAACAAAGAAAAGCAAGTACATTCGAGCATTCGATTCAGGCCCTGCAAGCCACGAAGCGAGAGCAGCTGCCAAAGAAAAGTTTAGAGGGACTCGTTGAATGAAATCTTATATAATAGATTAGCCAATGATCTCATTAACAGAAGCAAAAGGTCATAGACCAAAGAAAGGGGACGGGCTATATCCCACTATGAGCGAAAAGATGCACAAGCTAGATCCATTATCCAATCCCTTGACTTGAACCTTAACTTATACAATCTGTATAGTTATAATTCATGTCCGAATCCGGAACTAGGCATTGATTCCCATCTCGGTCAATCAATCGGCCCTCCTAGGCGAGGAGGAGCAGCTAACTACTTTCTACATAGCACACGTTCAGGATAGGGGACTTTAGCAAGTACTGCTGTGATCTTTGCCTTTAGCCTAGCAGTAGGAGGATTCTCTATTGCCGCTTTCATGTGACCACGAATGGCTCTTGTTCTCAGGAATCCTATCTTCCTAAACATCGTCTCGCATGCTCGGCCAGTAAGTACCTCTGCTTTTTTTTTTCAAGGCCTAGTGGTCCACATAAACCATTTTGTGCCTAATCTAATAGCTAATGTCGAAACTTCTGTACAGAATGTACCATGTGAGTCCTTCTCTTTCAGTTATGGTGTAATTGCGCTCTGTCGGTGACAACCTCCTACCCCACAGACAGTGAGTGGGATGATCCAGTTTGGAAGGCCCTTCTTGAACCAATGTATAATATATAGCGGATCCGAGAAAGAAATCTATCTCAGGGCGAAAGACATCTTTTTGACCCGGGTCCCTAAGTCCGTAACTGAAAATAGCCTTTCTTTTCCATTCAAAAATGAAGCAAGGAGTGGCTGAGCAAAGTAGTCTAGCCGTAACCGCTACAGTCAAAAAAGTCAAGTAAGAAATGATAGAATGAGGTACTTTACTAGCTTGGCCAAAGGGGAAAGGACTATTCAAGCATTCATTCCAATAGGGATGGGGAAGATCTTCTAATGCTTCTAATCCACCCAAGAATGGGGAAAGGAACTTAGTCTGATCTTCTTTCGCCTACGCTACGTCAACTGGACTTTTGTCACTATAGTAGCGAGTAGCTCGAAAGCCGCAATAGAAAGGATTTAGGGGGAAGAGCTCAGGTCCGGCGATGACTACAAGAAAGAAATCGAGCAGGGATAAATCCAATTTCATTGCCAGAAGGTATGGTTGTGCCTGAAGAAGGGCAGTCAGAAGAGGAGAAATCAGCCTGAGTTCAATTAGTCCCAGCGTTATCAGTACAAGTAGCCAGGGGAGTGTACCAAACAGTTGAGGAAGGAGAGGTTGTTAAGGAGGCAGCACGACACAATAAATAAGATCCGAGTGAAGCATAATTTTTGACTACCTCAATCAATGCCCGAGAGCATTCAATAAATCTTCTCTTCCTCTATCTACCCCTGCCTCGGTTGGTCGGTCATGGGGCTTCCCTCTGCCAAGAATTGAGAGAGGATATTCCGCTTTTACTCAGTACACAGATTCGGATTAGTCAAAATAGAACTAGACAGATTCACTCCCGGATTGGAAGGAGGAAAGTAGGTCTTTTAGGCCTACCTCACATTTGTCTTCTACGAGGGACGAGGGAAAGGCGGATTAGGATGAAAGGATTTTTTAGTTCATACCAGGCACAAAGGCCTAATCAAACCAGCAGGCGATAAATTCCCGATTAAAGTCTTGGAGGAAGGGTGGCTACTCTCTCTTTTGAGATTGTCAGAGCCAGGAGTTTAAGAGCGGCAGTCCTTATGCCGACAAGAAAGGGGAAGACTTGAATAGCAGACAAAGTGGAATATGACTCACTAGGAAAGAAGAGATCAGCGCTTTGGTTAACAGTTGGAATTCTCCCTCGTAAGGCAGGCTCTAGTTCGACTAGCTTTTAGCTGGAACGTGGTTAACCGGAGATCGTAGTCTCAATCCTAACGGCCAAGGAAAAGAATAACAAATGAAAGGTTGCAGCCATTCAGTAACACAACCCCTCCGTCTTTTCCAACAAACATGAGTTGAAAGAATCCCCGGAATTAGACTACAGAAGTCAAGCCTTCTAAGAAACTAGCAAATTGACCCTCAGCTCGACCAGTCACTTGACTGTAAGAACGACTAGAAGGAGAGGACTTTGACAGCTCTATGTTTCATGAGGTCGAACTTCGAATGAGCTATACACTCTAGGAGAAAGCCACTCTACCGACAGGGTGGTCACCGACGTTTCAAGGCGCTCGCTCTAGTGAGTTAAGGTGTATGATCAGGCCTCCTACATGGTATCCCTGCCTTACATCAATTCGATAAGCTCTCACTAAGTAATTGAAGATAACTGGGATACCACTACCGATAAATCCAAGACTTCGGTTAGCCCCAATTGGTAGATAAAAAGCCTTTCTTTCTACCCTTCACCACACCATGTGGATGGGGTTCATAACTACTCCTCTTACTACAGGACGCTTACCTAGCCGCTCCGGCTCTGCCCAAACTTTTCTGGTTTACTCCAACATTCCCTACTTGTCTGACTGTTGCTGAGCTGTTTTTGGATATCAAACGGACGTCTCCAGAAGGTAATTTTTATGTAGCCCCTCTTTTGCAATCAGTTTCGCTACAGCACCTGCTGCTCTAGCTAATTGTCCACCCTTTCCAAGTGTTATTTCTATGTTATGTATGGCCGGTTGAAGTATATTCTTATTTTTGATCAATCAGTTCCATGGCTTACTAATATATTCATTCTTGCGCAATTAAGAAAGCGTTAAAAGCGCTACGCACCTTAAGCACTAGAAGGAATCCGGAAATAGGTTCACCCCTTAGATCGATCTTCCCCAGCTTTGCCATCGAGAGTGAGACTTTATCCAAATATTTCATACCCTTGTGGAAAGCATCTTGATTAGAGTTATAGGAGAGCGAGAAGCGAAGTGAAGAGGCTGGTATGCTATAAATGAGCGATAGCCTTTTTGTTAGCCCCAATCCATCCTCCCGATAGTCTGATTATCTGTTATTCAGGTAGCTAGGGGGTAAATGGCTTCATCATCTCAGTCCGGTCTTACTGTAGCCTCATGGAGGCCTGGTCGATAAGTCAACAGATCTTCCCCCTGGTAAGAAGTTCCTATTTTATCTACTACCCGCTCAAACGTGCCGCTTGTCGTCTCAATCTTTCTTAAGAAGCTAGAGCAAGTGCATGTGCCTAATACTCAAATTAGGTTATCTTTCCACTTTGACTTCGACTATTCTTACTTCCTCGACTCGACCCCGAGATCTCGAATTCTTAACAGACTCTTCCTCTGCTGCCAATTAAGTAGCACGAGTGAAAACTCTTCCCTCTTGCCCTTATTCGTTCATCCCCTTTTCTTTCTTTTCGTAGGCTCATTCTAGTTCGGTTGGTGAGTACGATATCACTCAAGTAGGTCATGTAGAAGGGGATTCGTGGTAGTGATATAAGCGCAGGCCTACAGAGAATCAGCTCTTGCAAGCGAGTCAAATGCTGTTGATTCTTGCTTTCTATCGAATACTACAATAGCCATCCTCCACTAGATACATCATTCAGAAATCGGGCAGTAGATCGGTGCGCGCAAACATATCTTCTCGGACAGAGGGACCGGAAAGACTTCTACAGGCTTTCTTTTGCCCTTCTTTACCGCTTGGAACTAGATGTAATCGAACTTACACTTTCTGAAGGCAACCCAAAGAATAGACTGGTAGGACCCTATTCGCGCGCCTATGGACCAATGTAACCCAACCAGTAACTAGTGCCCCCAATGGACCTCTCCTATGTAACTCCAACTGAAAAGGGGGACGGAATAGAAATTTTAGATTATGGGCTTGATTGATCATACTTGATGACTGATTGATGGATACCTTTGTTATATAGTTCCGATGAACCCCACGGATGTCGTCTATAGGGGCTACCTGAAGCTATTCTCCGATCGGTACCTATACCCACTATTCATGAACATAGTCGATGTTAAGGTTACTATAGATGGAAATGCTTCCACCTCAGCCCTTCTTTTTTTCTTAGTAAAGCGCGTAGAAACCCTCTAACCTAGGTCTCCTGCACTCTTATTTGGTTTAGAATTGGGACAAGCCAAAACCTTCATTATTAGTAAGATAGGTTGCTTTCTTGTCTTTAGGAGTGAATTGCGTAGGCTGAGGGGCTACTAGCGGGATTCTTTGGATAGAAGAAGATCTTGGTAAGGTTTAGCAGGGGCTTGCCAGGTATTGACTGACCCTTGAAGTTGAGGTAGAGGCTGTAGGTATTGCTGAGACTGACCTAGCGGAAAGGGATCTTTTTCTGGTCTCACCTGAGAATGCTGTAGCGGCACTGGTTGAACCTGCTCTCGCGCCTGAGGCTCTTTGAAGTTGTTGCGGTTGAAGCTGAGTCTGCTGGACTTATTGCTGCTGAAACTGCGAATTCGCCTCTAGACCTGTCTGAGTGGAGGCCGTAGTCTGGTAGTGCTGAACTCTTGATGGTCTCTCTTTTATGAAAGGGATTGCTTTGTGACATGGGTTTACTCTTATTCTCGGAATTTCTTTGAGATTGTGGGCTAGTCTGAATCCTAGATGCAAGCTTCTTAGGTTGAGAAAGGGTGCTAGTCTCTTGTGCTTTCATCTTAACATTCATCAGTGAAGGCTCAAAGATGTCATACATGGGGGACTGCATCTCTCCTGAGTGCATACCTTTACGTAGACGACTGTGTCAAAGTAGTAAGAAAGGCAGCAATAACGAGAGATGTCTCTCTCTCCCGGGCGCGTATTGCCGAAAAGAAGGTTTTGCTTCAGTTGTGCTACTCTAGACCTGCGGAAGACAGGTGCTGCATGCAAAGGCCTAAGTCCCGTGATGTGCAGAGAGTGTACACCAGTCTATGCTCGTGCGTCTGGGTGATCCTCAGGTGGAGCCCAGGTGTCAGTGTCAAATGTGTGGCAGAAGCTAAATAGAAAAAAGAAAGGAATTTTGGCGCAAAAGGAAAGAAAGAGGGGGCGATCTCGATAAGCTAAGCAATTGACTCTTTGTTTGTGATTCTTTCAAGGAAGGCTCAGATCCAATATCGGTAGCGGAAGAATTAGACTTGTGTAAGCTTGAGGCCTGGACCATAAAGTCTAAAATTAAGTATAGGCCGGGGGCAGCAGTAGAAGATTGGACTGGAACCCGAGAAGGACAAAAACTAGATATCTTTTGTGGAAGTTACTTACGATCGGGCTTCACTAATCTGTAGCACCTGAACTCCTGAGCTTGCTTGGGTGAGTGGTGGGATGATAAATGGACTGGTCGACCCTCTCAAAATTTTCCTGTGAATCAAGCCCTTCTTTAAAGAGCCATTTCGGTAGGTTTTAAATTGAGTCATTAGAGGAAAGGAATAGCAGACCGCGGAAAGCAAGCTACTCTCTCTAAACTAAATGGAAAAAGAGCTTATCTTATAGCAGCTCTCTCAGGGAAGCTTCCTTCGGGATTAACCAATAGGGTAGAGGTGAATCAGCTTTATTTCCTTAGGAGGACGTTTTTCTTGATTTTTATTGAGGCTGCCTTCGCACAACCGGCACAGGGTATTCATAGCTGCTGGTCTTGACCGGTTCACTAGAATGGTTAGAGCAATAGGAGCTCCTACTCTCCCTAGAAGCTGATGTTGGTTGTTGGCTAGGCTAAACTTGAACCACCGGGCTTACCCATTTTTAGATCATGCCTCCGTAGTTTTTGGTATTGAAGCCTTCCATTTCTCTGCGACTTCTGGAACGGATGGGACTTTTCCCTCTCCAACTGGACTATAATAAAGGAGGGTCGGCCCGGCCTGTGATCGTAGTCCGATAGCTATTCCTGCCCCAACTTAACCAATGGGGTCCGGTAGTCAGGGGTAAGAATGAACAGAAGGCGACTAACCAATCTCTCTTTGAAACCAGATGCCCGGAGATGTTTTATTCGTAGGGCTAGGAGATCGGTGAAGAGGACCGGACAACCAAGCTAAAAGTTCTTCCATTACGACTACTCCGAAATTTTGCACTACCACCTTATCCATCCATTACTGGAGACGAAAGCAGCTATCCCTAATGCCTTGCCCCTCTCCCTCCAGTCGGGAGCTAAACCCGGGGAGTGAGAAGAGAAGGAAGGGAAGAATCGGCTAGGAAAAAATAAGATTTAATCGTGTTAATGCTAAAAACTCAAATACCGGGTATTCTCCGACATTTTTAATATCTTATACTTGGTTCGAATCCAATTCCTGGTAAGGAAGGCAAAGATTCTAAAGAAATTCCTGGATGATGAACAAGAAGCACTGCAGCAGCAATAGCAAGTCACTTTGGAACGACCCGGCATCGAGGTCTCTACTCCCCAACCACACCACCTGGGGAAACCAAGCGAAAGAAGACAAGATCTAAGTCTCCCCTTCCGCCGCTGGACTGGAACGAAGGAACTCGAAAAGGGATCACCAACAGTAAAGTTATTTCGATCATCACTGTACGATAATAGTTGACTTGTATAACAACCCTTATCTGAAAGTAGTCTAAGTTGATGACTTTGTTATAGTAGTTAGACAGCGTATCTGTTAGATAATATCCTTATTGTTAGGACTTTTTGTTGAGCGAAGGGACCATGGGAATATGGGTCCCGAGCGGTTTCTCATTGCTTTATCTATTCTATTGGGAGTGAGGGAACGGATCGTTGGCCGTTGTCTTGTTTCCTGTGCTTGTTTTCTCGTGGTTTAACTTCAATAATTATATATTACTTTTTTTATTTAAGTATGTCACCGCTAAGAATAGCTACCAATGCAAACCTGTTTGTCTTATATTATAATAATCCAGTAGCAAGCAAGTCGAAAGAAAGGGATTATTATCCAACCAGCAAGGCATACCACTTAACCAAGCTCTTTATGAGCGGTATCCATCTTCACCTTATTCAACTCTACTTAGCCTCTGGCTTGGGCGTGGTGAAGCAAGGTCTCGATCGACAGATCTAGTGGTCAGTCACCGTCCATATTTGATTCTACGGCCAATGCTGCTAAATTCAAATAGCAATTAAACCGGGAAGCCCTAGCCTTGAAACAAGGGGCTTTATTACTAATATAGAAATTTCAATCAGTTAAAGATGCCTAGTCTGTGCTGTTAGAATCCATTGGAGAAAGGCTTGCTCACTTCTTGATCTGTGAGATGATCGTATTATATTATAAGTTAGAATAATGGGATTGGACCTTGCTTCCATCCCCTCTTTTAGAGACTCCTGAAAGTCGTTGACCCATAGATGTAATAGCCGAAATGTTTTCCTTTACGCCATAGGAACTAGTATAGAATTAAAAATCCTTACTCTGCGAGAAAGAACTACGATAGAGAGAAGAGCGAGGCAGTATGTAATAGGGTGCTCTCTCTGATGGTAAAATTAGCGTTCTCTAAGATAGCTATCATCTGGTATGATCGTTCTCTCCGGTGTCTATGATTTGATATTTTGCTTCTGTCAGTATCTTTCTAGTTCGCTATCATTTTTATTTTAGCGTCCTCTTGTTAGAAAGAAGATAGGCCAGGTTGAATAGATAGGAGTTCATAAACCTTCTCCCGAAGTTACGGGGGCATTACCCACGGGTGTGGGGCAGGATTTCTATATAGTATATATACGCGGTCACACTTATCCTGGACTGTGTTACGGTTTTTTTTAGAGACAGAGAGTAAATTGGAAATACTACTTAAGTTAAAGGGGGATAGACCGTCTACCCAGTGCCGCTACCCACTTCTACTAAGACTAAGGCTGAATCTTTGCAATCTTATATTTTGTTGAATAGCAATTTCCTATAAGAAGATAGGTACTCACAAAGGCAGACATCCAGTTTCCATCGTAGTGCTAGACCATGCATGTTGGGGCTTCGTGTCCTGCCCCTGGGAAATCACAGCCAGCCCTCTAGATGGTACAAAGAAGATAGCTCAGACATACACCCAATCTATATACAGCGTGAGCCGTGTTATGATAGAAGTCTAAGTTGTTTATACTTTTTATATAGGCCTCTTTTTCTCTTCCTCGATATAAGGAAGCAAAAAAGGATCGCGTGTAGGCATCCAACTGATATTTTTATATAGAAAGATCTTACCCAAGACGATCATCCGGGTAGTAGGATTGGGCCTGCAGTGGTAGAACCTGCTTTGATAGAAAATAGGATCAAAGCCACTTCCTCTGCTTTTCTTTCTGGATACCAAAAGGTTAAGGGGCATAGCCTAGCACGATTATTACATAGAAAGAATTAAGCTTGCTCGGGCGTACTTCATGCTTACACCTAAAGGTGTCCCCTGTTCTATTCCTGTTTTTGTTCGGATCAGACGGTGGTGAGCAATCGATCGAGAGCAAGGGATGCTAGCGCTCTGATCCTCATATTCCTTGCTTCAGTTGGTTCAGGAAGCGCTAAGCGCACTACACTAATATAAGAAAGCGTAGCGGTTCGGAATCAAATCAGCTCTTTCAGCTAGTCTTCTTTTATCCACATAATCCGATGCAGTTAGCGAGAGTCGTGGTAGTTCAGTTTGAAAGGCAGTTCAGTCATTTTAGGGTATAAATCCTAAAAAAGGTATTCCCTACCCTTCTTTCTTGCTGTGATTCCATTTCCTGCACTAAGCCAAGTTAGCTCATCTTAGGGTTTTTTTTTCTTATTAAGAAAGGCTTAAGTTCTTCCTTTATTAAGGTAAGGTCCGAGAGTAAGATGGCTATCTTTTCAGCTCTTCTTACTATGCTTTCCGTGGTAGCTAAGCTTATATCAAACCAGACTAGTTCCTGGTGGTTTAGTAAATTAGTAAGGGCTTTAGCAAAAGACGTAACTGCTCTTGTCGGGGCTACTATATGGGAAAGATATGCCACACCTGGACCAGGCTAAAAACGAGGAGTCTTCCCTTTTCGGGGTTATACTCTCTAGAACCAGAACAATTGACTGATTGACTGTGGTCAGGTCAGAGCCCTCTGTTGGAGGAGATTGATTGGACTTTATACCGTACCTGACTTAGTCTTCCGCTGGACTTGGATTCTCTAAAGCTTAAAAATATAAGTACCCCTAGGGGGAGGAGGAATTGACTTCTGTAAAAAGGAGATAAAACCATTTCATCTGTATCTGGCACTAACTTCTTTACTTGGCTTATCTAGTAGACTGTTTTTAGCGGGATAAAACCTTTAGCTTTAGCAAGTACTACTCTAACTACTCCAGGATAGTATAACCGATGATATGATGTTCTTTTCGCTCTTGGAGTAAGATAAGAAAAGTATGTTTGAAAGGTGCGTAGCTATGAAGTCAAGAGATTCTGGAATCTCTCTTTCCTGTGCTATCAAGAATAAGGAATAGCCAGCAAGGTATTCTTATACGCGCGTGCAAGAGATTAAGTTTAGTGTAAGGTGCAAGGCGAAAGTCATAAAGGAAATCGAACTCCCAGTCTCCTACTTCCTTGGTACGAGCTGCATCACTGGCTCGTTCATTTGACGAGCGCTACCTGTTACAGAGTTCGGTTGCACGAGAAAAACCAATGGTGCCTTCCTCATCGATGCGGACCTCTCTGTCCAATTCATCTTCTCCTTCACTTACGTCAACTAAATCTGCATTGCCGCCTCTCCTTCCGTCTCCTCCAACTAAGCCTCTGCCACCAGTGAATAAATTGTAGGCAGCAGAAATGCAACTGCGACGGGAAAAGGGGTTGTGCTTTACTTGCAACGATAAATTCTCGTGGAAGCACAAATGTCCGAATCGCCAATACATGATTCTGCAGGTGGATGAACCGGATGGCGATGTTTCCTCCTCTGTTGTCGCCGAACCTGTTCCACCGGATCTTCCGTCGGATGATTCTCCAACTTTGCATCATTTGTGATTACAAGCTTATCATGGCACTTCTGGCAAATGTACTATCTACTTTTCTGGGTCGATTGCAGGCACCACCGTGCGCATTCTTCTCGATGGTGGCAGTTCTGACAACTTAATTCAGATGGAGAAGATTCCAAAAAGGAAATCTCAATCCAATCGCTGGGTGAATAACGAGTGGGACCGGTTGGATCCAACTGCGACCCATATTGGTAAATGTTCAGCTGATGCTTCAGAAAAAAATTAGATATCCATCACTCTAGCACACCGCTTGCCTATTCCGACTAAGAAGCCCGGTGTGCATAAGCAAAACCAGAACGCCTCAAATAAAAGCATTCTAGTTGGAAGAGAGGAGGTAAGGGTTGTCCTTACAAATGAAATGGGAATGGGGAAACTTTTTCATTCAGCACGGTGTATAGCCTATATAAGATAAGGAGCGAAGCGCTGCTCACGTTAAAGCTACTGTGTTGACTGTAACTACACTACGAGAATTTTAATTGAGCTCCCAAAACAAAAGCAATTCTAGCACAAGAGCCATAGAACCTTTTATTAAAAAGGAGAAGTAAAGAGCTGGGTTTTCAGCTCATAGCGGTTGGCCCTGGCTCAAAAGGAAGAGTTAGCTTATCCGGACCGGGAGGAATTTATCCCCAAAAGGGGCACAGCACATCTACAGGCCTTTCCACAATCCCTCTGCGTGTGATTTTTCGAAGATTTGAGGCGCCCTATCTGGCATAGCGTCTCCCGCCCCCAAAAAGCGGGGGCTCAGAGAAGCGGTTCCTTCCTCTCATGCTTAGGAATTTACAAGGAAATCGATCAAATGACCAAGTTGCAAGACCGGGAATGAGCTTTACAACCAGGTTCCCAGTTCTAGCACTAAAAGGATCAGGAAAAGCAGAAGTATGGGCTTCCAGTCACACTTGATAAAAACGATAAGAAGTTGGAGATCAACCAGCTACTATCTTATACTTATCTAGGATCTTTTCAGATCTTTCTTGAAAAGCCGGTCCGATTTAAGTTGAAGTAAATTCACGGTATCCGGGATGGTAAGGGGAAGAAAGAGTTGGCGATCTTCACTCGTCCATCACTCCCACTTGAAGTGAAGAGGTAGTAGGAGCATGAGATGAGGGCTCACATTCGATGACAGATACAGATACGAGATGGGATGTCTACTAAGGAAGCAATAACCCCAGGAATTGAGTTCTTATGGGGGAGAGTGAAGACTATGACTGGTAGGGCCCCCTCTTGTAGTTATACTTGTACTGCGGGGTTGGTTTTTTGCTTAGCTGCCTGTCCCACATCCCTTTCTTGGGCACAGTCAAAGACCTTGCAACTAAGGGCTTCAAGCCTATGCTAAGAGAGTCAGGTTCCTGTCTCGATCCTTTTTCTTTCTTTTATTTTCAGCAAGCATTTTTTAAAAGTAACAATTCAATTTATTAAGTTTGGTTTAGGAAAACTTGCTAGTCGCGGATTAGTGCGTTCTGCGCCGCTGGCGGCGCAGGTTTCTCTCTCTGGTTGAGGCTGCATTCTTTTATTAAACTTTACACGTGGGAAGGGCTTACTCTCCTAGTGGCTCGGCTTGGTCTCGCTCCCTTCCAGCACTATTCCTCCCCACTCAAAAGAGCTATTTATAATCTCGATAACCTTTCTTTCTGAACGCAAGACTACCCCTCTTCCCGAAAGCTTCGCGGGGCGATTTGAAATGGCCGTACTGTACTGGTTGGACGATGGCACAGTATGCAGGACCCTCGTATGAAACCCCACTGAGCTTCCTTGCACTATGTGGAATGGACTATTCTCAGATTGGACACGCCTATAGCTAAAGGAACGTACAGCGAGCCGTAGCGGGAGGGAGGCCAATGTCCCGTCAGATACCACGGCCCACGGGCAAGCCAGCGACCTTCACCTCCCGCAAGTCCCTTCGGTCTCCTTTCGCTCTGGTGGGCGTGGTTCTGTAGTTCTTCTGGCCTTCCTTCATGTCGTAGCCTTAGCTTATCGACGGGTCTTGCAATACATACAGCATTTTCTTTGACTCATGCCTTGGAGAAGAACGTTCTTTGTTTGAGTTTGAAGTCGTTACCTTGCGGGAGCCACCTGGGCGAGACCCTTATCTCCTTTTTGATTTCCATCCATATATATAGTATGTTGAATCACTTGTGAAGTCGACTTTACTTGCCCGTGTCTGCTTCAACTTCACCCTAGACTCGTGTCGTGTAGCAAGACTAACAAGTGGTCGAGTGAATTTATGAACGAACGAGCAACTATTATAAAAAAAGCAATACCTTTCTTATTTTTTGATTCTTCCTTGGCCGTGTGGAACATGGATTAGCATTATGTCATTCCTACAAGTGATCACCCATCCAGGATTTGAAGAAGAAGCGCCATATGAGGACTTCGAGATCAAATATAAGATGTTTCTTTCCATTCCTCGTGAGCCACTTATTTCTCCGAAACAAGAGATAAAAGTGATTTTCCTCCTATTTCCCAATAAGTCGACGGCGTTACACCATTGGGATACTTCGAATAAACTAGAGTACATATAGGATACACTGGTGCTAAAACCTTTTCTAAAGATATCTTCCAAACTGTTGGGGTCCTCGCTCCGGATTTTGTTCCCCCGGTTTGAAACCAGTTGGTTCCGTAGTTTGAGAATTCTGCTGATCCCAAGTACTCCATCTCCATCATTGCATATGGGAATATAGAAAGTAAAGAGGAAAAGGCATGACCAGAAGAATTGTGTGAAATAAGTGAATTTATCCAGTTGAGGCATGATTGATTGAGACAAAAAAATTACCTCCAGACAGAAAGATAGTCTTTCCTGCACGGAGTAGTGAATAACTATAGAGAGCTGTGCTTGGTTGTCGACCGATGCATGGGAAAAAGACCTCAGATATCATAGGGAGCGTCGCGTCTTGCACGCGATCTCATCCTGTCCTAGGTGGCTGAGTGTTGATCCGCATCCGCCCGGAATGGCACTCTGTCGGCCAATTGCCGGAAGGTTGCGGACTGCAAACCTGCAGTCTCCAGGTCCTCACGCATTCGAAGGAGCTGACTTAAGGACTCCTCCCCTGTGGCAGTACGAAGATTATCCAGAGCTCTAGCCCCCCGTCCCATCCAATCCCCGCTTGGGTGAAGGCCCGCCATGACCTGACAGATATCGACCTTGACCTCGAATAGGTCTTCGGCTTCAATCCGGGCCATTTGAATCTCATGGGCAGAAGGAGAGGGGAATCTCCCCAAAAGCCTCCGTTGGATGGATTCAACACTGTCCCCCCTATAATCTCATTATTTTGATAGGGGTAGGGCAGAGCAGCTTCCTACATAACAGGAAGAGCGGGAGGCATGGCTTGTTCCCCCGGAAGCGGTTGATTGACCGCTGAGGTACTACTACTACGCCCGGAACTCGTCGAGTCTTCCAGCATGTCGGAAGTATACGTAAACAAATCCGAAGGGGAAGGTACGGTGTCGGCACTAAAGGAAAGAGGAGTGCCAAAGCAAGATAAAAGACCGAGAGCCATAGGAAAAACCTCGCCTGGGGGCAACTTTCGTGTTGGATTAACAAAAATCAGACCGAGTAAGATCAAAGAAACTAGCAGACTGATCACGAATGAGAGAAAAATAGGTGCAAATTCTGACATGACCAAATAAGTGAATTTATCCAGTTGAGGCATGATTGATTGTTTCTCAATGATTCCCTCCGGACTCTCTTTCTGTCCGAAGTCTTGAAGGAAAAGAAACGATATGTGGTTGTTGACCAACAAAAATAAATAAATATAGGATTGGAATCGATGACTTAACTAAAGCCCCTTTCCTTTCAAAGAGGAAGAGCATGACTCTTTTTTTGATGCACTGACTTACTGACGGAATATCAAAGAGTCGTCCAAGAGCACTTCGTTAGAATTGCATGTGTTAAGCATATAGCCTAACTAGCATGATTGAGCCCTGCAGTGGTAGAACCTGGTGAACCTGGCGTACGACTTTCCTTGCCAATTCTTCTCTTATGATATTTTTTACATGTGTTGTTTGAAACATCGCAGGAATGGCACGCAGAAAAGGAAAAAGAGGAATTCGGCTTCGAGCAGACGTTTCGCAGAGGAGGTGAAACTCTTTCTTTCCGCTTGTAGGTTAGGCGAGTTAGTCGATAAGGAGAGGAAATTTAATGAGTTTCCCTTTTGTAAAAAGTATTGGTTGATTTCCCTTCTAAGGGAGAGATTAAAATGGATTGATCCTTCTTTGAGTCCCATGTTGTTCGTTTAGTCTAGACTGCTTTGTATAGCTTAGCTTCTCCTCTGCTTAGCGGCTGTTAGCTTCAGAGGCAAAACCCTTTATTCAAGTAGAGTGTAGAGGTGTAGAGTCAAAGAAAGACATTTAATTTGGTTGGTTTCACAAATCCAATCTTTTACTCTGGTTTTCCCCTCTTGAAGCTCTAGAAGGCCGATGTCAGTCAATAAAAATGCGACTTTTGAACCCCTGTTGGCTATCGGGTCCTAAAATAGCGATTCTGCCCACGAGAAAGAAATGCCTTTGAGTTTGAGATAGGATCCTTTGTTGACCATCGACCGGTTGCCCCTTCATCAGAAGATGGTGTAAGCTTCGGTAGTGAAACTGCAAAGTTGCTTTAGACAGGTTGGTTTCAGAGTTGTAGCTTTCCCGAGACAGCTTTGGAGCAGCGAAACTTTCTGAATATTCATTCCAGGGCTCCGAGGTCAAGAAAAGACTTTGTTTGCCTCTCTTCGGTTGATTTCAAATACGATCTTTCATATTTGAGAAAAGGAACTGTCTTCCATCATGCATGTGTTAAGCATAACACTACGTTTGTTTACAAATCGGCTAGGCCGGCTATAAAACCGGGTTTTTGGCATAGTTTAAAGGTTGATTCTCGAAAATGCTTATAGTACGATAATAGTTGAAAAGCTAACCTCCAAAAGAGCTTTTCCGAGCAATTGATGTCAAATTTCCGGGGTTTCGTCACGTCATAAAATAAGTAAATCGTGTTTGCACGAGATTTCTATCCAATCAGTAGCCAACTTCGGACCTATGGCGAACCAGTCTCGTACTCTAGGGGGGGCAGTCTAGTCAGAGCAAATGATCAAGCAAGAATGTTCCTTTATTTGTTTACGCACTTCGTTGACTAGTGAAGTAAGCAAGCTACCTTGGGACTAACGTTGCCACTGGGGTCGCTCATCTTACTCTAGGGTAGCACTCTCTATGGAAAGATGAGTGGTTTGTGCTTCACTAGCCAAGTCCATGCGCCTACAGCTCGATCTACTAGCGCTCTCTTCGATCCTTCCAGGTCAAGACCTTCGCTTGTTGACCACTTTTCGATGAGCAGATCTTTCGCTCAATTACGATCCATACTCAAACATGTTCGTTCGACGCCTCAACTGCCCTCTGCCACACATCTCTTTCCTTCGCTCTAGACCCACCCCCAAAATAGACCTTCTGCCCTTTCCTTTCACACTCTAAGGGTTGAACTATAAAGTCAGAGTTAGGAATGCCATCTAGTCCTGCCTTTCTGATAGCGATCTCCCTGCGTATTTCTGTTGATTGCTTCTAAGAGTTTCCTTCGTTGATGTTACCTTCGGTAAAGCAATTGCACTTATAGCTAGCCTCTAAGATCCCTGGTTGAGGCGAAAGCCATGAATACTAAGATTCTGAAGCAGGTCAATCGAACCTACTGTGAAAAGTTTTTATCTGACTTGCATCGATTGGAATCTGCTATCTATGGTCTCTTTTCTATTGGTAATCAGTAGTTGAGGGCGCTTCTTGCTTGCTTCCTTTCTCCACTGCTTTCCTTAGCATTAGCATGGGGTTGGTCTTCCTCGGTGAGCGGATGTCTATAACACCCATTTTCAAGGATCTGGCGGATCGCCTAGCAGGAAGGCTACTGAGCCACTGATCTGACCTTCGATTGGCTTTGTACGTCGATTAACGTAGATCAAGAAAGGAAAGAAATCCAATTGTGTTTGAGCCGGCATTTATTCCTTGTGATTGGGTATGTATGTGTAGGAGAGTTACGTACTGGAACCGCAGGAAGATATCGTCTGGTGGAATGGCAGGACCAGAAAGCTTGGTTGATTTTGTTTGAGGAAAACAGAATCATTCTCGGTTGTACAATCATTACTAGTAGTTCCAGCGAGGTCAGATCTTTCATCAATTGGCTTTCACAGGGCTTCTTTTTAGATCAAATAGTCCATAGAAATTCACTCATAACAGAAGCTAGAGGACTGTCTTCGTAGGACGCGTGGACGGATGAGCGATTGGACCGCCTACAGGACAGTTACTGGACAGATGCGACCCTTACCTGTTGACAGATGACAGACAGAAGAGCGGGAAGTAGCTCTATTTAAAGGAAGGGAATCTTGTACTGAGCTAGCCTGCCTTGAACTTGATTGAAGTAGGCAGTCTCCCCTATATCTGACAGCTTTAACTGGCCTTGTTACTACAAATACTACAAAGAAATTGCCATAGATCGAAACTTATTCCAGGCTTAGTATCTCCGGATAGACCAATTAAAAGAAGACGAGTCATAAAGGGAAATTTCTAACAATTGAAGGGGTCACATCCTAACGCACCTAGAAAGATAGGCTATTAATGGGAGGTCTTCGGAGTGCAGGGAATTGCTACTTCTTCAGTAGAAGGAATTGGACAACTAGGCTCTTAGGCAGCTATTGAATCTGCCCAGGGACTTAAAATCCTTCCATGGATTTAATCGCTTTGGTTGTCTCAAAGAAAGTCAATAGGTCGAGTGAGATCAAGGGCATCAGTAGGACTGATTTTAAGACAATTAGGGACAAGGTCTTTTTGACGCTTCCCCACAGCTAGTAGTAAGAGATCAAAGAGGACTCAAAGGGAAAATCCCATATCCCGGGTTCCTAGATAGACTGGATGAGCTTGACTACTAAATGCCGTATCTTCAGAAAGAAGATAGAAGTGGCAGCAGTAGCTCCAGTAGATTAGATAGTCCCTTCTACTAGGGTGCTCATTGGATGGGCACAATAATAGGGTTTTCAAGGAAAGAAAGCTTGAGGCCAACTTATGCCAAACTGCCAAAGCAAAGATTTAGATTATTAGGCCAATGAAGGGAAGGATCATTGGCGCCTTCTTCCACAGCTAAAGCAGGTTTAGGTCATACCCCTTCTCAGTTTACATAAGGCTCTACCCCCTTTCATAAAAAAAGGCACAAGGATTGGTCTCGAAAAGGCAACTACCGGCATGGGGCACGAGTTGTAAGGAATTCAGGTAGTTCAGTCACCCGAGGGGGATGTTATAAGCTGCTACATTAATTGGAGATGGAGCTTCTACAATTGCTTTAGCGGGAGGCGGTTACTCCGATCTTTGGTTCGATCTATCAATGAAAAGTCCCTTTCAAGGGGCCCTAAAGCCGTTAGACCTAAAGCAGGATACTGGCATAACACAAAAACTGGGAGACTTGCTCCTCCCTACTGGCTTTCTTTTCCTCTAAAAATACTAAGACTAAGGTTTTCACCGCTACTTAGTGGAAAAGAGTTGGATTAGTCCCCACCAGCGGCATTACCGACTCAAGAGTCAAATCTATAGTTGGATTAGTCCCACCAAAGGGAATCACTAATTAGGCTGGATTCTCCGTTCGGAATGTGCCATCTGGTTGGTGTCCAATCATTTCCTCAAAGGAAGTCGTCAAACTGCGTAGAGGAGAACAAAGATGAAAGGTTGATTAAGGGGGAATCACAACAAGGCTCAAATCCTTCGCTGTCTCGCTAGTTTGGGGCCTCGTTAGGGGATCTCCTCATGAGGATCGGTTCTCGTGCCCATATGAATTCGTAGATGCCTATCTGTCAAAAGATTCAGTGTCGAAAGACAGAGCCTTTGAAAGCCCCTTCTTCTTATAGTCTGAGTCTTCCTTGGACCACCGCTTGCTCTCCTACCGGCCTTTCTCTCTTAGCTTTCCCCGCCTTTGGCAGTGAACGACTCCGATCTGCAGATAAGAATATGGATAACCTTGAAAGGAGTCTTCTTAGCTTGAAAGAGGCCTTGAAGGAGTGAAAGAGAGAAGATTGAGTAGCCGGGTGAATATCCTTTGCTATTTAATTTGAAGAAGCTGTGGCTCTTTCAATAAGATCTTGGACTGGGGAGAGCCAAAGGGGCGAAACGAGATATAGATGACTGGATCAGTCTGGCTACAAGACCTTGAAAAGGGAATAAGCCCTGGGACTTCTTTTTTAGTTAGAGCTTTCAATTTATTGGTCAGTCATAGCTGCAGCTATAGCCGATAGACTAGGTCTATAGGGCATGCATGCCCTTGAGATGTAGAAGGACTGGTCTTTTCCTATTTTAGGAAGGTAGAAGGCGCTGCCCTATACGTGCCTGCTCGCTTGAGTGACTCTCAGTCATTGTAAATAGATAGAAAGAGCACGAAAGTATACTGTCTTACTGGATCTGCTATATGGAAATGGAATTGAAATCCTCTTAGTCCGATTCCTTACGAAGAAAGTCTGACTCTATCTGCTCAATAGCGAAGGGATTTGGGCAAAAGGTGTACGACTTAGTAGGAGAGGTTCTGAAAGAGTGAAGGTAGTACATCTTTCTTTTCCTTTTGATTGAGATGGACTCCTCTCTACTTCTGGGACGAGGTATGACTGAAATAGGAGAGGTGTCCTTCATAGGTAAGACCAGACCTGGTTGATTAGTCTGCCTTCTGTGATCCAGGAATGGAAATTTGAAGGCGGTAGTTCAGGGACTGTTTTGGGGGCATTGATCCTAGGTCTTAATCTGTTGTCATCTTGGGGGATTCTTGTGGCATATCATCTTCCATATGTAGGTTTTTCCCAATCCTCATAATGGTCTTTCGATTGTTCCACCAATGCTACTGGAGCACTCTTGATTCCCAAAGTCTTATGGCCGACGGCTCTTAAGGGTTTACACTCACAATGAAAATGAATGCATCCCTTATTCGCCCTGGCTTGGTTAAGCCCAGAAGCGAAAACAAGGAAATCAGTACCGGAGACTCCTCCGATATAGGCAGGCTCTTTAGGGCGATTCTCCTCTTCCTTAGACAGAAAATCTAGTTAGACCCACTAGGTAAATAAAGGAATTACCAAGGTAAGACACATATCGCAATATTACATCTACCTTTGCCTTACCCACAGAAAGCCTTCGCACAGATTTCCTTCCTACGTTTTTAGCGGAGAGAAGAGAATAGTCTAGTTAGTAGTCCTACAGAAGCCAGAATCAATCCTATAGATTAGAAACTGTAACCTATAATATTATATGCATATCCTAACCAGGGAATATGCGCAGAAAAAAGCACCTTTTTTCACTTTATCACTGGATTGCGAACTTACTTATCCTTTTGATGAGAATGCCACTACTCTTACTTACTATCTTCAAAGCCGCCTATTGGCGTGTCTGGATCAGGTGAATCGCTTGGCTAGATATCTCCTTAAGCGATATATCGTTAACTCCTTAGTTCCGGATAAGAAGGGATAAGCACGAAAAACCCTAGCTTTCTGTCGATCCTTAGCTCCAACTTGCGTCAGATCCTTTTGCCCCTGACTCTGCTGGATGGAAAGCGGATGCAAGATAACTCTCAATGGCTGCAAGTAGAACTGCCATTGAACTATATGGATAGAAACTCCCACCGGATGGAGATATCTTAACTTTTTTTTCAAGCCGCTTGCCGGTAAGAAAAAGAGACAGCTATTGGACACTACGGGGACTGTAAGCGATCTAACAGAACTGGCTTGTTGAACGGAACTCAGACTAGAGATATCAAATGACCCAGGGGACTGGACCTCTAGATGTAGCACTGGATGTAAGAAAAAAGTAGCAGAATAGAATAGATAGGCAAAGCAGCACTTAGCACTCCAACTAATGGCCTTAAGACTGTTGCAATTGGTACAACAGCTTCTCAGGGGATTCAATCAAGAAGAGTGGATTCTGGGCTACGCTAAACCTTTTCCTTTTCTTTTGCTGACCGGAAGGATTTTATGTCCAGACTGGATAAACATCTAAGAGCTTCTTCTTTGCATTTGCTTTGGGATTTCTCCCCTGCGCATTCCGAAAGTCAGTGCCACAGTCTCCTCTCCGGCTCGTTACAAGTATTCCACTCTAGCCTCTCTGCATGAATCCCATTCCGCCTCACTTGTAAGTCTTCAGAAAGGGGCGGTCCTGACCTATTAGGAAAGGGGAAAGCAACGAGAATCTTTCTACCTTCACGGGTGAACCTGGAAATACATAAAATAGCATTTCCCTTCACTCATGCGGGCGCAGAGTCACGAGCTCTTCATGGATAGAAGATAAAGATCTGGGTAAACCTCATCAATTCCATTCTATGTCGGGGCGGTGCCATCATTTCTCCCGGAAGGATTTCTTAAGGGGAATGATAAAAGAGGCTTGGTATTCGAACTCACGAAGCCACTTTCGAAGGGGAACTTCTTCCTTTAGGAGTTGGAATCTCTGAAAGCGGGGGAATTTACGGATCTTTTTCCATATCCCTAGCTCTCAAGAAGATAGGAGTATGTCATGGCTACGCGATCAATAGCGATATCGTCATAGCAGCGGAAGCTGACAGAGTCCTATTATCATAGCGAGGAAGGATAGTAGTATGAAAAGTAGTCCATTACATATGTATGGTATTTTAGTACTTATACCCGTCTAAGCGGCTAGTCTTTGACGTCAGGTTTAACTCAGGTTGGCTTTCCGTTAGGTTATAAGGAGGATTTACAGGGGAGAGGTGTGTGTCAGTAGAGACCATGTGCAAAAGATGTCGTTGGAACGCTTTAACAAACAAGGCCGTTACGTAGATGCTAACAAAGCAAGCCGCAGCTCGCGATCGATCTATGGACTTAGGTACTTAGAGCTAATCGTATCATAGCATTTCTTTCCGAGTAGAAAGGTATTCTATTAAAAAGAGAACTCATTATGTAGTAATCTTTGGAAGTAAGTATTCTAGCCACTTCCTTCGCTATTGATGGGACATCTAGATCTAGGTCAGCCGCATCTGCAGTTGAAGCAGTTGACGGCCGGGCCAAGGCCAACAAGAGCCGTGTTTGCATTTGATGAGCCTGACTAGTAGCAGCAACCAGGTTATGTCTGTGCTGTGACTTTATATGAACCGTGTCAGAATGAGCATCAAATCAACCAAAAGTTATCAGCTTCTTTCTTAAGTGCTTCAGTTCGACGTGATCTATCGCAGACGGTTTTTCATCAGACTCTTCCCCTACTTTCCACGCATCATGAGCGGATTCACCTTTCTCCCTCTGCTACTCCAGCCAATTAGTCATCTTAATCTTAGAATGCGCTAATGGTTGGGGGTCCACCCAAGCTTTCTCGATCAAACTCTCTGACGTCGAAGAAAGACTTCGAGGAGCAGGGATGATTTGAAATAGTTTATTTTTTATACACTTAACACCAAGCCAATCTTTACTTAAGTAAGTACAAGCAAGGCTATGGACTCTATCAAGAAGGTATGGAACTTCTCGACGCACCTCTTGAAATTCCTTCTTTGCCACATCTCTCTTAGCTTATTTTATTTCGAGTTAGCGGTTAGAGGGAAGGATCACTCCTAAAAGCAGCCTTTCTCTTATATACGAGAGCACTGCTGCCACTTCTGAAGCTAGGGACTTTTTTCTGTCGATACCTTTACTTTAGAGAATGAATAGGGGCGAAGCGGTTGAATTGGCTTCCATCGAAATCGATATTTCCTCTGCCTCTTATCTTTTATTTATATTTAAGGCACTCGAAGCATATTGGAAAGTTTCCAGTAGAGCGGGAAGGAGGCTTAGTCAAAGACTTTCAAGAGCTTGTTGGAGGCAATTTTTCAAAGGAAAGGGAAGAGCCCGGCAAAGTCCGAAAAAAGAGATTGAATACCCGGAATTCGCCGAGAAACCCCTCCCTTTGAAGTAATTCAATCTTTTCAGCCAGAGGTTCCAAGTCCGTAAGCTACTCTGATTGAACTCGACATCAGTGATTTCGAGCGTTACTGAAAAGCAAGGGCATTTTGGAAAAGACCCTACTACTAAACTAAGGTTCTTTTGAAGATTCCTTTGGTTGTCACCGGTGGGTTAACGATATAAATCTGTCTTGGTGTTCATCACCTGGTTAAACTGGTAGTAAAGTTAGGCCGTCGATCAGGGTGGCTGTATGTTGCACTTTACTGTAAACAAGCATCAACATGCTTTATGCACTATTCTTCTTCTACTCACCCTAAGAGGTTGACCGAACTATCTGTTCCCATCTTTCTCACGAGGACGGGACTCCCAAGGATCATTCCCCCGTTTCACCGTAAGGTGATCCGTAGGCGTGATGATCGAGCAGATATAGTAGTCAAGTTGTATCTTTCTTTACTATAGCAAATCTTTTTTAATTGGCTAAGAAAGTGGATAGATCAACTTTCTCTTCTATCTCTACTCCCCCTTCTAATGTGAAGGCCTTGGCTACCGATGCTGCGAATTCTTTTTTTTTTAAGAATTACTGCAAAGGTATGTTCCGTCTATCTCTAGTATTCCTTTGCTACAAGGAATGACTTGGGATCCGACCTGGAAGGCCACACCATCTAAGATGAAGCCTATCCGATTGAAGGGCTCTCGTCGTAAGAAAGGAGTTCCATCTGTCTTCCGAGCCTTCCCCTTTGAAATCTATTCAAGGTTTCAACTTGCTGAGTCTCGGAATAAGTTCCGTGGGCGTCAACAAGCTAATTGGTTAGGCGCGTTGTGGTTTCCTTGGACGAGGTATTGTTTTGACCCTAACAACGAACTCATCTCGCAGATAGGTTGTTCTGCATTTGAGGAAGCTGTTAGAGTCGGACATCCTTGTCCAGAGTTTGCTGAGGTTATGCCCAGCCTTGGCCGACTAGGTCAGTCTATAGAGGGCGTAGGATATTTGCCATAGGTAACTGGGTTATCCCGCGTGTTTTACATCCCCTTAATAAGTGGTGTATGACGGTTCTGTCGACACTCCCTATGGATGGGACTTTAAACCAAACCGCTCCGGTGGAACGGTTGGCAGGCTCATCTATAACGTATTCTGTAGATCTTAAGGAAAGCAGACGGGGATACAATCAATAAGCTTCCTTCCTGGTATCAGATTGGATGCACTGGCCAGGCTATCTCATAGTCTGGTACTCACTGCCAGTAGATTGAATCAGGTAGACAGTCAGCTCTCGGTTACTGCGGGAGAGAGTGCTAGTCTAACTGCCGGTACGGGTATGCTAATAGATAGAGGATCCGCCAGTCCTAGAATCAGAAAGTAGCTTGTCTGCCGGACTGGCTGCTTCATTGAATGTGTCGATCTTATTCTATATAAGGAGTTGATTTGCATCCTTGTCTGGCAGTTAGCTAAGCGAGAAGCTGTGATCGAGGAAGCCCCGCCCGGTAGTGCCTCTACTCTACTCTACTAGTCCTAGTACTAGATACTAGATAGACAGGCCGATCACCGGTGGCATAAGATCCTTCTCTGCTTGTCTAACTCAAGCCAGATAGCAGCAATCACTCGAAATAGTCATATGCGGAACACATGCAAGTCCAGATTGAAAGATAAGAGAGCCAAGTCTATCTCTTAAGACCAAAAGGAAATGTTGGGGGGACAGGTCTCTAGGGAAGAAATGCCAGACAGAGGTCTAACCTAACCGTTTGTTTCATGCAGTGAAGCGGGCTAGAGCCAGGAGTACGGGATTGTTTGAAGGCCTTTCCGGTTTCAGCCAACTATATATAGTGTCAAGGAATATAATTTATTTTCGGCAAGTAAAGTCAAAAGAAAGGGCTCTATTCAAAAAACTAGTTCCTGACTCCAATCAGTCAACTACGGGCGGTAAAAGAGCTGGTAGTGAATCTTCGGCGCAAGCTGTAGGAGTAGGACTAGTTTAGGTTTAGGCGAGGGAAGAAGCAACGGCTAACGAGATAGGGGCGACAAAGCGAGGGGATTGATCCTTTCTCCTAGCGCAAGAGTTTTCGTCGCTGGATTAAGACGACTTAGCTACTTGTCTTAAAGCGGAAAAGGAAGCTGACTAACTTCATTCGGTAAAGCTAGATAGCAACCGAAAGAGGCCTGAATAAGCAAAAAAAAGGGGAAGTCATTGGATTATTCGCTTTGATAGGATTGTCTCCTTATGTGGTACTCGACCGGCTAGACTTCTATTACTTTTTTTTTGAGTTTCTAATCGTGTTAAGCATTTCCTATAGCTGGCGAGAAGGGATCGCTTATTAACGAACCTGGCTAAATTCTAAAGAGGGATCACAAATTTCCCTATTTGTGGGACAGATGGGGAGGACGTTTTGCCATGCTTTGAAAGATTGTAGTTGGGCAAGATTTGTTTGGTCTGTTAGGCCAGAGATCTGGTCGCACTTAATTTCAGCCCCCTTACTCAATAGATTTATTAAAATATCCATGGTGCTGGTATGCATACAGTGTCGGAGCTTGAATGGCCTCTCATTTCATTTTTGAAGTAGCAATTCACCAACTCTGGGCCCAACGCCATTCAATCTTGTAAACTCATTGACACCACAATTGGAAAAAGAGATACGAACGGAGAGGAATAACCAATCGATGAAAGAACATGAAACCATTCTGTTTCAATAGAGGTACGAGATATGGTTGGGGGCAATGAAGTAGGTGAAGTGGTTGGATTTTGCGAGCTGTTCCAACCACTGCTGGATGTGATTCCAAGAGCCAAACGAGAATGAATACCACACAGAAGAGTAAAGACCAGGCTCCCTAATAGAATGTTTAACCGATCCATTCCGGATCGACCGAATTGGTACGGAAGTTGTAACATGGGAAAACCACATAAAACATAACTTATTTGAATAACCCGGTGACCTACCAATTGTAGAAGTAGGATCTTTGGCAAGCAAAAAGCACTTAAATAATAAAATTCGAGTGTACCATCTTCTTTGTCATTTCGAGGAAAAGGTGCGGGAGGAAAAGAAAACAACGAAGGGATCCGAATCGGACCTAAATTGGAATGACATGAAAAGTCTTTTTCAAAACCTAGTATTAAGGGCGTTACGACGATATACGAGAGGAATGGAGAAAAACTCGTGATTGGTGTGGAGGGGAAGATATTTTTATTATATAGTTCAAGAAAGAGTCGTCTCATTTCCTTACATTAGCCATGGAAGATAAATCAAAGTAAATATCTGTGAAACATGAGCTTATGATATAGCTACACCTAATTCCGAGAGAAGATAGGAAAAAGACAGAGGAGTACGCGAAACTGCCATTCTATGCTCAACCTTCTGACCACGAACAACTAAGACAGATAAATAGAGGACTTGAACCTGTAATGTGTACTGAAGGGCTAGATAGACAGATGCCTCTTCCTATCTTCCTTCTTGACTGGACCAAAAGATGGATAGATCTAATACGTTAATTGTTTTGATCACAGGTAGCGAAACCAAGAAAGAAAGGATTCGCGAGTGGTGCCTCTTTCCTTTCTATTTTTAGAAATTTCTTCGCCAATACCTTTTTTATAGCTTTCCTTTAGCTGCTACTTTTTTTCCCAGTCCACGCCCAATCAGAGTAGTAAGTGTGCCTACTTCGTCCTTCTTTGACGAAATGGATGCTTTAGGGGAAGGAGGGACTTCACTAAAGATGGTCTGTCTGCGCGCCAGGAAGGGAAGGCTTCCATGCAGGTAGTTCAAGGCTGAGGTCAAGCTATGGTCGCAAGGAGGTCTAGTAAGTTCCTTCTTCGTCTTTTGCTTGTCATTGGGCAGGCGATGCCTTCTTAAATGAGATAATTTATCTTTAGCAAGAAGCAAGCCCTCTTCAAGCTGTCGAATATAGATTGAAGAGGGTGATCGTAGATCAGGGGAATCAAATCCCATTGCTCCAACCAACACATTTATATAAGCTAAACCTAATGTTTTGCCGGATGACAGGACGGGAAAGAAAGGCTAGCAGATCCTTTCTTAGGAGGGAGTCTCTATTTTCTTTTCCTAGCTTCCTCAAAAGCATTATGTAGCGACTTACTATTAATTAATAATGCGAGCTAGCATTTGGGGCTAATGTCTGTAGATGTGATACCTCCCGGTCAGAGACGGAGAATCGCTGTTATCGGATCTGGTAATAAACGTATGCTTAGTAGGGGGGGCTGAACCGGCTTGCTTTTGGTACAAAATTCCTCCTCCACCCGAGCGTTTATTGCTTTCTTTCTCGACGAAGGAATTGATAGAGGCGAAGAAAAAGAAGTGAAATCTTGACCAGTTCGTATAGAAGTCAAGGGAAGAGTTTTCAAGGAACCAGCTCCTGGGGACTTCTATTAAGAACGGCTTTAGGTCTTAGTATGTGGTACAGCATATAGAGTCGTGAGACGCTCTACTTCCTCTTGTTTAGTTATCGATTCGCTGGCTGTTTCCGGCTCGACCAGATGCTTTGCGAGACTGAAAGTTTCATTTCGTGTTCGGTTGCGTTATCTACCGCAAAGAGGGACTCCCCCTTTCTATTAGAACAGTGTTAGTTCGCTATTACTGCTGGTCAGGCCGACGATAATTCTATTCTGATATTGCTATGTGCGCCACTAGAGCTTTGATCATATGCTTTGAGCCGAGTCGATGAGTTTGAATATTCATTCGTGTACGTATGCCATGTAGATTGAAAAGGGAGAAGCCCTAACTGGGGGAGTCTAAATAGCACACCAGATGGATCATTCAATAGAAAGCCGAAGGCGAAGAGTTAACACCCCCAAAGGGCTGGGTGAGAGAAAGCGTCCTTTGTTGATACTTAGTGTACACCGCCACCTACTGAAATGGATTAATAAACGTTGCTTTCTATTGCTTGTAGCGGCGTTGCTTCCTTTTGTTCACCGCGTGAAATCTTGAGAAAGAAGGCCTTGTGGGGCATCTCCAGCAGCGCCAAAGAAGGAAGAAGTAAAGTGGGCGAACGAGAATCAGATAAATCAGAGTGTAGTAACCGCATTTCTTACAGCTGTAACCTTTCCCTATCGGTCGATCATCCGAGCATCCGATTCAATCCTCTCCTTTCAGTGATCTCATACCTCTTCGCTTAGCTCGAGTGATTTAATACCATAGCTACTAAGTGATGGAATACCGTTGCTTACGAGGACAAAAGGCCTGATAGGGAGAAGAATGTGAAATCGCTTGCTCGCAAGAGGAAGGAATGATTAGCTCAAGCCTATAGTATAGCGTTAGGGCACCTCACTCGGGGATTTTACCGATTGAAGCTTGCTTGTTAGAAGCTTTGGAAGTTTACTTGTTGCTTGTTGGCTCACTAATAGGGTCACGAACGGTAAGAAGATAAAGAATAGTTCCGATTATTCTGATTCTGCAACTGTAATCAATTCTATTCTATTTAGCTTTTCATTCAAGTCTATTGGCAGTTCATTCTCTCTTGGCTCTCCGGAATATTCATTCAACATGTTGCCCTAGGTAGAATGGGAAAGGACTCTGTGAACGGATCTCCCAGGAGATGGTGATAAAGTTTATTTAGCAATAAAAGGGAAGTGACCTTTACTAAACAAGCAACAGACTGACTACTTACTAAGGATCCGAAGGAGAACAGTAAGCGATGGAATTGATTACTAAGCTGAATAGAAAGTCATTCGATACCTTCGCTTACAGAAAGATAAATAGTTAAATTTAAATAAAGGAACTATTCTTTATCTTCTTACTCAGGAGCTACCAGCACCCTATTTTTTTGAGACTGATTACCGAGTCTTCTATTCCTGTAAGGGGGGGTGGAGTGAGTTCATGGAGCGAGGTAGCCCCGCAGGGAACCCGGATAAATTAATCTATAGCTCAAGTGAAGTGACCAAAGAAGCAAGACTAAGCGCAAAAACAGAGATCGAAAACCCATGACCAAAGTGTTTTCGTGTTATTAGCGTCTAGGCCGGAAAACTCGTGGCTAAGGTCCATGCACACTAGTTCAACGCGCTCACGTAAAACACACGAACTGAACTAGCAAGATTAGGGTTTGGTTTTTAAGACGGCGCAGACTCAAGGAAGAAGTTTGCTTCAAAGCTAGAAAGGCTTAATAAGCGCATCTCCAGTACACTGAGCTTACACCTTATAAATTTTTAGCACATTTTTACGAACATTATTATTTATTATATTTTCATAAGTAGTAAAGATTTACAACTAGGGCTTTTCCCATACCATACATGCAAACATAAAAAATAAAACCAAACAAAGATAGTTAGCATAGATAGGTGTCTATCTCCAGTAAGCATCCGGAGTAGATCTCAACTAAAAAAGACAAAGAACACCATACATTAAAACACACTACTTTGCGTCTACAGACACTTATTAAAATCTTCTAGAAAGAGTCGACGGACCCTTTATGAAGCTTACGCACACATAGACAAACCAGCCACACAACTAAACACAACATTACAACAAAGTAAACAAACAACATATTAAGTTAAAAGAAAAGCAAAAACAAAGGACTTCTTAGTAGTTTCCCCCAGGTCTCCTGCGGATGATGGAGGCCGCCCTGATAAGCAGCAATTCGCGCTCTCGGATGAGAACCCTCCTTTGTTCTTCCAGAGCGCGAATGTGGTCCCGGAGCTCTTGTATCCGCTTTACCAGGACCTCCTCCTCGACAGGAGGCATGTGCTCCCAGAAGGCAGCCAGGGTTTGCTCCTGCTGGAGCTTTGTGTTCTCTACATTAAGAATTGCTTGCTCAATTTGAAAAAGCGTTAAAGTGGTAACTGGTGGATCCATATCTATCTCCCCTTGCTTTGCCAAATAGAGAAAGCAGCTTCTATTTATAGACGTGGGAAGCTCTAAGCGAAAAAAAAAGAGTCTTTCGTTTTTCGCGGGTATCGCCATGTGGCTTAATCCCGAAAACTCTTTCAGGAATATAACTTAATAATATAGCGCACATCAGAGAAGAGAGTAACCCCTTTTATAATATAATAAGAGAGGCCCCCTGCGTCCTTTCTTAATAGATGGAGCAATCCTCACTCGACAGCTCGAAAGCGGATCAGTACAAACCCACGTGATCCGTATTCGCTTACGTACCAGGCGTGCTTCGTCGTACCCTGACTACTCCTCTTTCACTGGCTTCTACTTGTCTTTTACTGGCTTATTTGTACCCAGCTTCATGATTTAACTCCCCTCGGCCAATCGTCACTCGACAGCAGCTCCGTCCTAGCGTAGGCTGAAGAAGTAAAGCCTCTGCCTCTATCGCTTGATTGAAAGGATCATACACTTTCCCCTACTTTTGACAGCAGAACGAATTATATTATTAATATAAGTAAGGTAAACTTGCTTTTGCCGATTGCACTCGGATAGCGGCCTGGGCCGTCCTGGAATGGTAAAAAATAAATTAGATGGACTGGACTTCGATGGGCTTTGTTTGGAAAGCCAGGAAAAGGTGGCATTTCCGGGCCAGGGCTGAAAATGGATCTGAATGCTAACATTGGGCTAACGTTCACTCCAATAGAATGGGGAAACGAGCAGAAGCATATTTTGTCTGCCATCCCTCAGGGCAAATCCGTGTTCATCACAGGCTCTGCTGGGACTGGTAAAACCCTATTGCTTGAGGAAATAAATTACTGAAAAAAATTACCAATATGTGGTTTTGTCATACAAAAAGATCCAATTTGTTTGGACTCGTTAGGTTTGGCCCATTACCTTGAGTGAGGCCGAACGTGTACACCTTTTGTTATGAAGATGTGATCTTATCCACCGATGGGTCTTGTTCTAAGCCCAACCCTCTCGTCTTAGGGTAGGATATCCAGAAACCTTAAATCACGGGAACTTCCCCTTTTTGGTAGACAGCCTATGTTGGGCTGACTAAGCCCACTATCCTACCTAATAGGGTCCCATCTTGTGTCGGGTTAAGGGCGCTTAGTGGAACCCTATTTCTTCACTTGTAGTCTAGGGCTTTGCTTGGCATTGGGCTTCGATATAGCTTGCTTTCCTGGTTTTGGATTAAACCTATGCTCTCCTAATTCAGTCTATAGGCTTAGAATTTAGCCCAGAAAGAAACCTTTCTTAGCATCCAATTGCTCGACTCGATGGGTACTTCTAGTGGTTTGCCGGAGAAGCTCTTGTATTTCTTTAAGGAGTTGGTTAGTGGCATAGACACCTCTTAACTCTAAATTGAATATTCAAGAGACTAAAAAGATCGGGAATGCACATCTAAAAGGAGAGGAACTTAACTCGCAAAAAAGAAAAAGAGAAACGATAGACAGAAAGAGAAGGAATAGCGGGCAAAGCGATTCCAATGCTTAACGAATGGACCAATCCAAGACTTGGAATGCTACCAGAATCGACATCAGCTCTTACCTTACTAGCACGATACCGAAATGGCCCTTAGCCGACTAAAGGCTACAAGACTGCTTCTACACCTACTACCCTCACTCTCAGATAAAGACAGAACGGACAAGAACTACTTTTACATCCTCAAGCTAGAAAGAGGATAGGCTATTGGGGCTTCCTGCGAATTCTGTGGAAGGTAACAAGACTGTAGAATATTCGAGGGACCACAAAAAGGGGAAGTCAACTGTTGCCTCTAAAAGGGCCCGGATACCGCCTAAACCAGTGCAAGGTTGTATTCCCAAGGAAGCTAGCATAGCAATAGGGAATCCATCTAGTATTGACTAAGGAAAGATGGTGCTGGGGGGTCCCACTAAGGTGAATGTTATTGAACCTTCTCATGCAAAAAAGATATGCAAAGAATTCCTTCTACGTCCATTGCTACTGTAAGACCACCAACAGGGGGAGATGAGCAACATGTGGGGCCTACACACTTGGAACAGCCTCGCCAAGAGTCTGCACAGGCCCAGGAGTTAGGTTCTTTTATGGAGCTTTTAAAACACCAGTTGCAGTAGGAAGAGACCCCCTGACCCAGGGTAAAACATCTGTCCTTATCGCTTTATAGTGCCACAAGAAGTGACAGAGGTAGAGGGAGAGGTCAATTCTCACTAAACGTTCCTCTAGTAAGGCACCATCACCAGCGCACATGAGAAAAGGCCAAGGAGAATGTGAGAGGAAGGTTCAAACACCAGGCTACACAGCCCTAAACTCAAGCAATGATTTATTGTAGCTATTGAGTTTAGTACACCGTACTCAAACCTATACCCACTCTCATACCCTACGGTAAGTGAAAGGAAGCAGTACATTCCACTTTTTAGGGAGGAGCTGAAAGATAGACCTTCCTCTTGAAACATGGGGTGAAGTATTGGGGAGTTACACAGCCACTGTTGGTCTTATATCCCTACCACCAAGACCAACAGCTGCGGATTCAATAGCATCGGCGAGAGAGATAATTCCTATTGAGTTAGCTTTCCTGGGGAAGAGGATATTCTATAAAGGCTATACCACGACCACCCCATAAGCTACAGCTTCCCCTGCCGGAGTTGTGCTTGGTGGAATTCACGCCTCAAATCATCACTTTCTCACCGACCTTTACCCATGCTAAACGTGTCCCAGTTTACTAACGAACCGGTGACGTAAAGCTTCTATTCTCAATTTATCCTTTCTTCCCCTCTGCAGCCTCACAGTTGTCTTTGATTTTATTGCCCATCGATAAAGGAATGACTCTTGGTGAGCCAATGAGCTCAAATCAAGCTAGACAACTTCCTGAACCAGATAGTGTGACGGCGGAACTTATTGCTATCTATCAAATCCCAGAGTTTAGTTAAGAACCTCGTAGGCCGGGAATGCCATAAAGAAGCCTTTTCCTCTCGGTGTCAGTGTCAGCCAAGTTAGCATCGGCTTCCCCAAAGCCATAATTTTAAGCTGATGACATTGATGAGTGATCCAACAGTCTTGAGTGGTAGTTCTCAAAGGAGAAGGGATCCGAGGTACTAAGTAGCTATGGAATGAAGGCGAACTAAAAGCTTTCTCCCATTCTCCTCCAGGCTCTCCTCTGACCACGAGTGGCGTACTCTGATATGAGTAGATCAGATCAGAGTACCGTGCCAATGTCGTTTAAGACAGCTGAGTTTGACAGACTCTGTACGGGAAGAAGGGCGGGGACACTCAGAAAATTATTCTTATTAATCACAGGTATGAGTTTTAGGGCGACGGGCCTACGCCTACTATTAGAAGTGCCCATCCTTCTCTCAGGTATTCTTTCAACCGCGTCTAAAAAAAGAAAAAACTTGACCTTTTTAAAGACATCCCTCGAGCTCCGCAGCTTTAACACCGGATGGAAGTATGGTCAGATGAATAGAACCAATACTATCTCAGCGACTATAGGTCGGTTGACGGCAAGGAAGGAAGTTAAGTTTTCCCCTATCCTGTATGATTTAGAAAAGTAGGGTCTGTAGGCAAGTCTATTGACTTGTTACCATTTATCTCCGCCATTCAAAGAGAAAGACCTGGCGCATCTCTTCCCTCTTCGAGCCAACCGTTCACTTCCTCTAACGAGCGAGTCAACAAAGTTAACCACTTACTACGTTCTTTCAGAACCTGAGATTCCATGAAATAAAATAATGATCCTCAGGAGCAAGAAGATGCTCCCAAGCGACCCCGGGGATCCAGCTCACTATCCGCCGTTATCCCTTTCCATTCCTACCCTATTCTCCATTCTTATTAGGAAGTCGCCATCACAATCGGAGTTAAGTTCCTCCTTCTCGCAATTAGAATCTAACTCGGAACCGTAAATCTCAACTGGAAGACTATTTGACATGGAAGAGTCACTGCCTAGGCGTACAAAAATATCCTTATTGTGGTATGCTCCTATATCATCCTACTGATCTTTTTTCGACAGCACACTGACGGTGATATGCCTTTAACTTTTTGAAATGATACGCCACGACTGGAAAGGGGCTTGCTAAAGCCCATAGGCCTGTGCAGACGTGAGGAATGTATTCTTTCTTTCTCAGGCGGGGCTCCGAAGTTGCCGAAAATCGTCCGCTATTAGATAGATGCGCCTTATCCGGTCTTTGCGGAATAACCGCAGTTGGTGGTTTAGTAAGGGCATTAGGAAAAGGCGTAACCGTTGTTTGAGAGATAACTAGTTACTTTATTACCTAAAGTTCACTTATTTGTAGCCTACCACTAGCTTTTTCTTTTTTGGAGGAAGCTAAGCCAAGTCCAAGATTATGCTGTAAGGCATCGATTTCCGGCCAAAGGTCTCATATTCTTTGACAGATTCTCTATAAAGAGTACGGTACGGATGAGAAGAACAGATAAGGGTCTTGCCCGATCTTCCCTTTACAGGTAGGATATGTGTTCGATAGGAACGTCCTAAAAATGTGGGGCGCGTTCCGTCTATATCAGTTAATATGCTGCTGGAGTTGGATTCTTTGAGCTGTTAAACAATAGATACATGGGGGTTTTAATAACGCCAGATCGGCACATCAATAGCAGCAGACGCAGAGGAAGAAATCCTTGCTCTTCGGGCTAAGATGCTGACTTTGCCGTGGAAAGAGTAATGAGAGGAAAGCCTTGACCTTCCCTTGTTCTACCCTTCGAACTCGGAGATTGAAGAAGATCACTCTATGCAGCGACAGAGGCAAGATCTCTATATGTTGATAGGACTGAGTCCCCCTTTAGAGATAGGGGGAGAGATAAAGCAATCGGCAGGGAGGCATTACTCCCACACGGAAAAAAAACGTGCAACCAACCTTTCCTTCCTCCTCTTCTGGGCATGTCTTACTAGTGTAATCAGTCCCTTGCTTTCCTTCCCCACTGTCACTTCGCCGGAAAGAAGTTCCTTCTAATTAGATAAGGGATATGCTTTTGTAATAGCAATTGGATGCTTTCTCAACACGGATTCCAAGGCTTATTCACCATCAAGCGCGGTAAGAGCTGCTATTTACTCAAGAGCGGCTAGTCTTGCAGCAGCAACTGCTTGAGCTCCTACTCTCACTGCAGTTACGAAGACAGCAAAGGGATATTGAAAAGAGGGAGCACAAGAGCTCTGAGTCATCCAACAAGGCTTACTGGAAAAGACTAGAAGAGTAAGGTCATCAGTCCTAGAGCCTACGAGTGCTATCCAAACAGCACTGATTCACAAGAAAGACCGTGACGGTTCATGTCCAGCTCCTTCTATTCTATAGTTCCTTCCCCCTTTCCTTCACCACCAGCTGGAGCGCAGTCTTCGCTGGTCTCAAGGTTATCAAAAAGACAAGACCGATAACGTGGCTACGAGCTCTTTCCTTACTCAGACAGACCCCAACCCCAAGCGGGCACGGTGACAAGACTTTGATGCGGGGTTCGGAAGATAGGCTTGCAACGGATTCAACCGATCGATTCCCCGTGGCATATAAAGATTGGCGAAGCATAAGGTTAGTAACATCGGTGCTGATAACTTCCTTTTCTCCTTCGGGGGTGGGCTTTGTAGGAGTTGGGCGAGATGCAATACTTTTTCCTCAAGGAGTTAGAGCAGAAGTTGTTTACTCGTATAAAAGAATAAGACCGGCTTACCATTCTATTAAATAAAATGAAAGGGTTGAGAGTGGATTCCTTTCTTCAATGCATTCCACCGAGGCGACTAGGGCACCTTTTTTGTAAGAGACGCTCAGCTCAAGCCAACTTCTATCAGTTCAGGCGGAAGGTCAGGGGGAGTGGTATAATTAGGCCTTCCCTTCGGTATGCTATATCAGTATGTAAAGTGAATTTATCTCGTAGGCCCGCTTTTGAAACTTCTGGTTTGAGGAACTTCACCGCTAACGAGCATCGATAAGCTGTCGCAAGCAATCAAAGCGATTCCCTTCCTTATTCTAATAGAAAAGGTAATCTGGGCCCTCCCCCTGTCTACAGCTATGCTATCTCTATCACTGCTAAGGTCAGGTTTTTTTTGCTGGATCAGATATGGATATTTCAGCCCTTTCCTTCCTTGTTTGCATTCCAGGTTGGTTCTAAAGAAAGGGTTGGAAAATGGAATCAAACAAAAGGTCAGATAGGCCTCCCATCCCATTATCTTTCCTAAGACAAGATCCGTCGTGGTTCGGAGTCTCGTACTAGCCTCGCCCTGTCTAAAACAAAAAGGTGGATGGAAGATGGCCTTCTTTCTTAATGAGCTCTCTCGCTTGACTTTATCGGTATAGCATTTATTGCTAGATCAGATTGAGAGTGACTTCTTCCCTTCCGCTGTCTATGTTTTCAAACATTTCATCGATGTCGACATTTTCTTCATCTCAGCCAGTGTAGGCTTGCTCCGCACACAAAGGCTACATCTGGGCCTTTCATTGATTTGACTTTTCCATTCATTTTTGAAGCCCTTCCTTCGCTCCGGGCACGCTGTTTAGATCTATTTCGGTTGCCAATGAAATGGAATATGGGGAACTCTCCGTCTAAGTGGTTAATCCGACGAGTCAATTCTCAATGTTATGCTGCTATCCGTTCGACGATCCTACTTCTGATGTCACCCCCGCCTCTCCCTCCCAGTGGAATATCCCAACTATTCTCTATCCAATTCCGGAAGAATGGATCATGAAAGATTTTTTCTTGAGATGCCGGTAAGGAACAACCAATTATAAAAGCGGGTGGCAGGGAATGAAAGCACTCCTTTGATAGCAAAATCTAGAAATTTTTGAGAGCTAGGGGCAGGCCATCTATTCCTGCTTTACTTTCTTAAAAGAAGCCTTAGATCTCTTTCTCGGTCGAGGTGGGAGTAGGCAGTTCTCTATGAACTGGATGTTGAATTCTAA